TTGAAATTGTGCTTGTTACTTTGCAAGGAGCTTTGAATTTGTGTAGATAATTCATAAAGATCAATCACATATTAGGAAAGAGGCGTAATGGCTTTGAGTAAGTAAAAGACATCCAATTCACATGATGTAGACTGAATATTATTCCAAATAATCATTATGACTCTTGCTGATGCAACTGTTTTGGAAACAATGGATTACATAGATCGTATTAATAAGAAGATCAAATGAATCAAATGATTGCCACCAAAGTTGCAAAGACATGAAGTAAAAAGAAACATGTATGGGTGATGCCATCTGATTTCGATAATGGCCAAGGAAAATATTCATTGAATTTACTCAATGGAATTCAATTCCTTTCTTATCAAGTCTTCCATTCATCTTTGGGTTCCACTTCTGTGCTCTATGAGCTCTGTTCATTCTCTCACCGGAGTTTGCAGTATTCATGAATCCAGTATCCACACTGGAGCCAGGCCCATTAAGCTTGTTCCTTGTAAGCGCGGCTCTTTGAGCTCTATTCTTCATTATCTCCCCACATTGTGAGTTTCAACTGCAAGTGGTTATGAGCTTTCTCTTGAAGCATTTCCCTCTCCCTCCAAATCTATAGAAAGAGGAAAATATGTCTTTGAGAAGTAACTTGATAAGGTTCTGGTTCTGTTTCCCTCTTGGAGCCACTTCCACTACCTAATAATGCATTGACTATGAAAGCAGTGATAACAAGACATCAACTTCATGAAGGGAACATAATGTTATTATCTAACTGCAGTAACCAAATGATACAAACACAATGGATAGTTTCCATCTGGGTAGTTCATGTTAGACAAAGTCTTTACAAGCATTGGACAAGATGCGAGCTCATTTGCTTTTTCCTGTACAGTTGCAATCAAATATGCATGCTTATTCTCATCAACTTCTTTTCTTAGATGTCACCTCGGCAGCTTCCTTAAGAAGCTACCTTGCTATTCCCTGCCACATAATTTCAAACATAATAAGTTCAAATGTTTAATGAGAATTCATTCGACATATTGAGTAATGTAGAAGTCTGCATATGAATTCCAATTGATAACTACTATTCTCATAATTTATTCCCTTAGCTTTTGATGACGCTTTTGATCAAAATAAAAGAAAAGGTTACTACCTTTTCTGATACAAAAACCACAGTAAAATAAATTTAATTTATGTGTGAATTGTTCATGTGAATTAATCTAAATTCTATCCAAACATTTTATAGACATGAGCACATATTTAGATACAGTTTAGAGTAATAGAGATAAAGAAAATGTCATCAAAACACGAATGTATCGGTAATTTTTCTATTGCAAAAATGGCATCAGAAGCAACAGTAATTGATTATAAAATAACGTATTTTTTGAGTTATAAAATCACTGCAATTGATCCTAAGTACTTTCCAGCCATTGATTTGTAATTCAAGAATAAGTTGTAGTGAAAATCCATTGTAGTGAATGAAAATAAAAACAAATTGAAATAAAACAACACTTCAACCTTCAACTCTAACCAATATCCTCTGAGTTAAGTGCTCTTTGGAGAGGCAAAGCTATACGAAAGCCGTAGACATTAGAAGCACATTCAAACACATCAAGTAATTCTTTCATTTACTAAGGATTCTTGTAAGCTATTGGACAAAATAATTTTCAGAATTAGAGAAAGCTAGATGGAAATTATTCTACAAGCTCTTCTAAAGGGAAAGAAATTTGGAGAAAGAGAAAGCGAAAAAAACCCAAGAAGCTTAGGCATATTCACGGACTTCCATAAAAAAGTTCAAGCTTTTGTTGCTATAAAATGCAGAGCACCTTGGAATATGGTGGAAGCATGGATGGAAGGAGAATGTAGTTTTGATTCATCTTCTATCTCCTCTCTATCTCTTTCATTATATGCCTATCGCTCTGAGACTCCAGAGGAACATGCCCACTATTAGTTGAAGCCCAAATGACCCTCAGCAATTCCATCATCCTCTGATTCAAGTTCTAGCAATGGGTGTCGGAAAACCAGTTTTTCAGGGCCAAAGACGGAACAAAAGCTCTGTTGAGGTGCCACTGAAAGCAAGCAACACCACTCATTCCCTTATGATTCAAGTTCTCTCTCTAAAGCTTGTTCTCTTTATTTTTCACGATATCCCTTCTCATTCTGCTGCCTTGAACTGGACTCCTCTATTATCTTTGTAACTTTTCTCTCTCTAGAATTCCACAGAGAGAGAGCCCTCAGTGCTTTGGCCACAATGAAGGGAGAGGGCATCCTCTATCCTCACGGAGAGAGACCCAGGTGGTTAGATTTGAAGCAAGTAAAGGGGGATACAAATTTGATTGTGAAATTTGATTTCAAATTCAAATTTGAAATTTGAATTACACAATATTTTTTTGTTCTCTATATGTAAACCATTAGATTAAAGTAGATCATACAGCTGAAATATCACACCGTTTCATTATATTAAGATACAACGGTTGCATCGTATCATTTATGTATATTGTTATAGTGAATGGTGAATAGCGGGTCCGCATGTGAAAACAAATGCACAAAGAATGTTTCCCCACCTCAATAGTTGTGGTTTTATTCTACAATGATTTAGACCAATGGTAAAAGCTTTTACCATAGTATTTTTTTTGCATATGCATTTGCACGAATCGAACATATGAAACTTGATTTATGTATATAAATATTTATCGGGGAATATTTTGCACACGAACCTAACGTACCCTAATAGAATCTTTGGAATATAAGATAGATTAATGATCCTATAAGACCCTTTTCCATCCATGTGTGTAGAGCTCCAAAGGATCACTATTAAAGTTGGTACGAATCTCTAGAAAAATTATCACATGGGTGTGGGACTTGACTTTTCTATAGATCCGTGTCAAATTTAATGGTGATCTTTTAAGGTCCTACACACATGGATGAGAGAGGGTCCTATATGATCGTTTCTCTATAAGATATCTATACATATGGATACAATATAAAGGAATGAAAAAAAAAAAAGGATTTCATCTTAGTTAAGAAATAATATTGAAGTTTGGAACCAATTGGAGAAGTTAATCACTATAGAATTAAATGTAGGGTAATACTATAAAAATTGCAACTGAATATCCATAGATTCACATCTTCCAGACAATACAAACAGTAGACGGGCATATTCCATGTTTCTTATCGGGTGCTATCCAAACATCAAACACCCTTATCCCAAAGACAGACCAATTCCAAGATAACCCAATTCTAGGAGAAGCCTCATCCCATGACAAACTTCTCCAGGTATCCAAATGGCCCCTTAGATCTAGTGGCGTCTTTGTGATGCAATAGTTTTTGGGATTGTATACAATGAGGCCATTTTCTTTTTGTTTATGAAGGTCACAATTATTTATAACCATCCAATGTGAAATATGATAGTTTGTATGTGTTACGTATTTCGAAAAAATTTCTTTTGAATTTTCGATTGGTCAATGAAATAAATACAACCACCAATTTCACATCCAATATTCAAGATTAGTTGTGACTACCTTGTACCAAAAGTAAATGATGTCATATATACTTTCCCATAGTTTTTCTTTTAGTGATCTAAAGGTCTATATGCTAGATGTTTGGGCCACCAATAGTAGGTGGATTAGGTCATTTGAGATACCAAAAGTATCCATAACGTATGTTTTGCCAAATGGAGGAAATGGATATCATCCTTCCTAGGGAGGAAGAAATGTTTTCACTTCATAAATTAGGAAATTATTTTTTTGCTGAGGTTAGTCGAAAGGTCACGTCCTGGTCTCGTATAAAGGTTTCAACTGAGGTATTAAATGAACAGTTGACTCCTGCGTCAATATAAAATCTTTTTGCCTCTCAAAAAACGTGCGTTTCCCACTCTCCCCCGCTTTAAAGCTGTCGGTGTGCGCAGCGGCTCCACGACAATTGGCCCGTTCATCTTCTATCTCCAACGGGAATCACGAAGTTATCACATTCTATAATTCAGGAAACCGGATTGCTACAAATCATAGAGAGAGAGAATCAGAGGGAGGAGAGAGAGAGAATCAGAGGGAGGAGAAAGAGAATCAGAGGGAGGAGAGAGAGAGATGGCAGAGTGCTCTCACTTGATGGGGGTGAGCAGCACTCTCTGCAGAACATACAAGAACGCCAAGTGCTATCTTTTCCCTGCCTCGTCTTCCTTTCTCTCTCATTCGCTCCCAATTTGCCACCGGTCTATCTCAAACTCACATTCTCTCTATAGCCATGGTGGGGGAGAAAGAGACAGTTGCAGGGTGGTTCCGATGGCTATGGCGGCTTCGTTTGGGTCGAGGCTAGAGGAGAGCGTCAAGCGAACAGTGGTCGAGAACCCCATTGTCATTTACTCCAAGACTTGGTGCTCGTGAGTACATGAATTTACTCTCTCTCTCTCTGTCTTCTTTTGGGGGTCTCTCTCTATGCCTTTCTGTTTCTTCGTTTTGGGTTTGTCGTGTGCATACCAGTTCCTCTCTCTCTCTCTCTCTCTTGTTTTGGGGCTCTAATTGGTCTTGTTATGTGAGATTTGAAGGTACTCTATGGAGGTGAAGTCTCTGTTCAAGAGGCTTGGAGTGGAACCACTGGTTATCGAGTTAGATGAGTTGGGTAAGTCGTGCTTGTATGCCTGGTTCTTGTTTTGTTTTAGCAAATTACATTTCATGAGTGAAGGATTAAGTGCGTTTCTTTCCTCTTTCAGATTCTTATGATCAGTGTTCAACAAATCGAACCGGGCTTGGAAACTGGCCAAGGGCCTGGTCTGAGTAACCGGTAAACCGGCCGGTGCACCTGGCCTCACCGGGCAGGTCCCAGCAGGTCCAAAACGTGTTAATTTTTTTTTTAAAATCCACCAAAATATGAAAAGCATATTTAAAGCATAATTAAATAAATCACATCCAAATGAAGTTGAAAAGTAATTGAAAAATGGATTTAAAAAATAGATTTGTGCCCAGGGTATTTTAAAAATAATCCAAAAAAGAAGAAAAAAAATGTAAAAGTAAGTATTCATGGTCAAAACACTTTCCAAGCTTTGTCAAAATGATAAAAAAATTCAATAACACATTAGAAACATATCCCTTCTTTTTTGGGATTTTTTTATATATTTTTATTTTTTAAAAAGTACCCGACCGGACCATGCCAAAACCGGATTAGCCAGTGCCCGGTTCTGGTTTGACCGCTCGCTTCCGAGTTGGACTGGCCGACTTTGCGAACACTGCTTATGATACCTGCTATTTCACTTCCACTAGAAAAAAGAGAGTTATTTTCCTGATTTCATCATGTCTCCATCATGATTATTATCCTCATTACGAACATGATGATGATCATCGTGACCATCCCTTGTTGCCTGGCGGTTCATCATCATCATTAATGTCAATGTGGATTGAGTTAGATACTTAAATTTGAATATGATGAATTGGGCAATTCACACATGTCATGTCGCTAATTATAAGGAAATCATGATCTGTTGACTAACTTGGAGTAATAAAATTGCATAGTCATATATTGAATCTGTGCTTATATCTGGTCCTCCAATTTGTCGAGAAAGACTTTTTTTCTCAGGGGAACTTGTTCACAACATTAAGGTTAGAGTGTCAAAAGTGGAGGGCTTCACTATCCTGATAGCATACATTTATTGTCTGGCTTATGGTCTTGTTATATTTTCGATTTGCTACTTTGTTAATTTGGTCTTTTTGATGCAATCATAGTTGGCTACTAGTCTGCTTCATGGTAATACTGTTCGTGTTAGTTTCACACTGGTCCAAGTAAATTTATAGACTGTTGGTGTTGCAGCTGTTGCTTTGTGGCTCATGGCTGATAGCTGTTGAATGGAATCTTGGTGATGTCAATTGCAATCATTGACTTGATTGCTTTTTCATTGCCTTTGTTGTGGGGTTTATGGGGCCCTTTTGCCTTTTTAATCTACCTGGTTGTCTTTAGTGTACCATGATATATTTATTTGTTTGTCGATAAAATTGATAAATTCTATTCTTTTTGTTTGTAGCTTGATTTGTGTCTTAAACTGAAAGTCCTGGTTGCTTTGCTTTCTGGTGTTGATTTGCTCCTGCATTTGTTTTATTCTGGATGTGTGCATGATACTAGGCTCCATTCTGCTTCACTCTCTATGAGAGACGTGGTATAGAGATCCGGGAATTTTTTAGTTGAGTTGATTGGGGTAGTTGATGAATAATTTGTTATTTCTAAAATATAACAGAAGTAAATAAGAAATAACCTGTAAAAGAAAAAAAACCCTTTTACTTGAACAATATGAAAACTCATAATAACTTCATGTATTATATTTGATTGTTTTGAGTATCATATCTTGATGTGACTAACTGCACAAAGCAGTGCAAAAAAGAAAAATGAAACTCAAATTCTAAAAAGTTTAGTATCTTCAACACACATAGATGTAAATATACAAATTGCAATTAAAAGCTACCCAAGTCTATAGGTTTGAAGAATTAAGTTAGAAGAAATAGGAGTTATGAAATTGCTTAAGTTTACAATGTGTGACTTCAAAGGAAAGAAATGAAAATTTAAACGTAGTAGCCATTGTGGTCCATTTGGGGATCACCATGGTGGTCATGGTCTCTGCTCTACTGTCATGAATCTTGTGATCCTCACTGTTCTTGGATTATCAGTACAACTTGTTGTAGCTTGTGCGCATCCTTTGTGACCCAGTTTAATACATTCCGCCTTTCACCTCCTTGTCATCATCATCTTACCACCATGGCCATCATTTTCATCATTGCTGCTAGCATCACCATTACTTCAGTTGTCCATTGTTATCACTGTCGCCACTGCTTTATGATTTCCTTCCTGTTCTTGCTCTTACTGTTGCCTATCGTGGGCAGACCATCTCAATCTACCAACATCAAGGTGTTACCTAATGGATTCCTGGCTTTGTAACTTGTTCTCTTTTGTCCTAGATTCTGTACTATCAAGGATTGATGTTGCATCTCTTGATGCAATGCTTATTAAGACCTTTGAAGCTATCTACGTATACACAAACAATCCCTTCAACATTGTCAATACCATAGAGTACACTCCAACAATGGACAATAGATGGAAAATTTGTAATGGATGATTTTTCACTACAATTTTCTATAATTCGTAAATTGCCTCATGAGCTAAGCGATACTTAACCCAGCTGAGCTTGTTTGAAGACCATGTTAATACCTCTCTCGCCATGGTTGTTTTCCCAGTGCTGGTGTTATATATTTAACTTCAGTTGGATTATTGAAACTCTGGTTCCTCTGGTTAATGTCATTGGCATCTTTCAGGGTAATATAACAAAATCTTTCCATTGCTTTTTTAATGATAAACAAAGTTTTCATGTCAGCTATTTCTTGTCTTCTTCCTTTCAAACTTCCTTAGATGGTATGCTTAATTTTTAGGCTGTTAAAATTGTAAATTTCTCCTGCATAATGTTGTTCTCTTGAGTTTCACTAAATTATGAGTTGACAATTAGTGATTGGTCGACTCTTTGTAGCATGCCTCGATGGTCCGTCTCCTAGTTCATGGGCAAGTCTACTGGTTTCTAACATAATTTGATAGTTGAAAGTAGGATTTATCTTTGTTTTTAGCCCCACAAAGTCCAGGTTTTTTAGTTAAAGAGGGTGCAGTTAATCTGATGTCGCAAAATATTTTGTATTTTTATGTGATTTGTACCATTCAAATTTTCTCTGCTTTATGGATGTGTGGGATTCCAGTTGATGCTTGTCATTTGCCAATGCCGAAAGTTGCCATGCATGGGTCAATGTTGATCAACAAAAATTTCAACCCGAAGTGAATGTGTCATTTTTTTTTTTATTTGCTTTTTTTTTTGGGTTGAATATTTGGGACCTGGTGAGAATTTAACTAGGTGTTATGTTATGGCACCTGCAACCCTGACTGCATCTCTGTAGAGCCAGTTCTCTTGGATCATTGTACCCTTGCCCTTGCTTTTTCACCATTTCACATTTCATGATAAGAAGGATTTTAATGCCAGAGGCACCCAACAGAAAGCACTAAGAGCTCACTTCTCTATAGGCTGACTTACTGTCTCTTAGTTATGTTGGAAATTTCAAACTTACTTGCTAAATTGGATAAATTATTTGTTTCCCTGTGGTAAATAGAATTAGACCTTGTGGCTGTCTGCCTATTTGTCTGTAAGTATAGGCCGATAACTCCATAGATCAGGACCTTAAAATTCAATATTTTAGAACTTTAACTCCAGGCATTATGGAGACCGTGTTATGTATTTCTGTTTAGACATTGTGGCTGTGCGCATATTTGTCTGTAATTATAGGCCGATAACTCCATAGAGCAGGACCTTAAAATTCAATATTTTAGAACTTTTAAGTCCAGGCATTATGGAGACCTTGTTATGTATTTGATATGCATAGTCTTTGAGACTGTTGTTTTCTTGGTTGTCTTTCTGAAGCAAACTGTTTCTTAGTAATATACATTCCGATACGCTGTGTGTCTTGGGACTCAAGGACAGGGAAGAAAGAGTGGTGGCCTGCACTTCCTCTGCAAGGGCTTAGGCTTCAAGAACAGCCTTACTAGTGTAAGGGCTGTAAGGAGTCATAGGAGCTATGGCGCAGTTGCCAGTTATCTTCTTTTAGAGATCAGTTATCATTCTTCTAGAGTTATAAGGAGTCTTGCAATACTTTAATATTTATTTTATTTTGTCAGCAAATCATAATGAGTCTCTCACTGTTTCGCTTTGTACCTTCTATCCCCTCATACTCATGCCCACCCACTTTCTTTAAACTAACCACTAACACTGTCTGTCAGACTGAATCCTATTCTTTTATGAGGTCCATCTAGAACAAACCCCATTAGGTGCAATATTTTTGTGCTTTACATGTCTCTGAGCCTCTGAAAAACAACTTGCCGAGCTCCCATATCCTACTCATATGTAGAACAAAAAAGGTGTAATAAACCAGTATCACCTTGCACTTGGCCATTGGGAATATGCTTCTTTGTGGGTTATTTTATTTATTCATTTTTCATGGCTAGCTATTAAATATGGTTTGATTCTCCATTAGTATATTTATCTTTAATTGCTAACTTGCTATTTCGAGATATGTCACGTTAATAAGAAGTTGAATTGCTTTTGTTTACTGTAGGGAGTGGTAAAAAAATATTTTATTTAATGTGATGTATGTATATTACTTTATTGGATTTTACTGGTGCATTGCGAGTTTATCAAAGGAATTCAGATTCTTCCTGAGGTTTTCTGGGATACAATGCATTCACCAAAATGCGCTGTATAACAGACAACCAGTCCTTAGCAGTGGGTTTATATCCTTTGGACTTGTTGCCCCATGCTGGTTCGTTGTAAAAATTCCAATGCAAAAGAAAGAAGAGACACTCTAGGCCTACACTTAATGAGATGGAATATCATATGCTTAAAGCTGGGAGAGGGCCTTAGGGTAAGGATGATCAGTGAATTCAATGAGGCAGGGATCATAGTTTGCCAGATTATTTCTGACCCTAAATCTTTATTTTCTAAATATTTCAAGCGGGTGCGATCTAAGGTGATTTGCTCACATGCTTGTAGAGGCATCTAGGGGATTAACTTGCTGAGAAGGAGGTTAGCGTCTGGCTGGTAACGGGAAAAAAATTGATTTTTGGGCAGTGTCATGGTTACCATAAGGTCAATTAGGGGGCCTGTTTGGCTAGATTTGCATAGGGAGCTTGGAGCTAGTTCAGATTTGGAAAGCATTCAGGGGCTTTCTTGAACATAAAAATTGCCATTTCCAGCCTCAGGTCTTACACATGTTCTGTGGTCCTCAAACATGGGCAATACCTGTTCTGACCTTGTGGGTTAGGTCTTATATCCTCCCTGCTGAACCGGTCGATGATCAGCTAATCTGGTTGCATTCTTCTGATGGGGTCTTTTCTTTCAAAGATGGTTGAGAGCTTATTCATTCCAAGGGATCAGCACAACCTGTTTTTAAGGAAGCCTCTAAGGCGTACTCACCCCTAAGCTGGATGCTTTACATGGTTAGATCTTCATGGAAGACTGCCCATGACAAAGCTCCTCCAATCTGGAGGAACTAGTTTGGTTTTTCAATCCCCATCAAGGCGAGTCGACGAGGAATGAGCTAACCATCTTTTTCTAGCCTGCATTTTCTCATGCTACTTTGAAAGCCATTATTCTTTGAGGTGGCATGTCATTCCCCATTGGTGAGTAGCGTTTACGGATATTCAAAAGGTACATTGAAGATTTTGACTTTCTTTTTCTAGATTGCTATTTGGTATATCGGCAGGAGAGGAAAATGCGTGTGTTAGAGGGCGGTATTTAACTCAATAAGGTAGCTTTCGTCGTATTGTTCAACATATTAAAGAAATGACAAAAATAAGGAGTAAAAAAGCTATTATTGTTAATCCAAGGACATCTTGTTTTGCTTGGCCCCTCCAATGGGCATAAGTTGAGCATAGATGGTGCTTCCATGGAAAATCCAGGCAGGGGTGGTTGTGGGGCTGTCATTCGTGATCACAATGAGTGTTTCATGGCAGGTTTCTCCTCCCCAATAGAGAATGACTCGAATAATGCAGCTGAAAGGCTTTGGAGTTTGGAGTTTGGCTGCTTCAGGAACTAAATTGTATCAATATAGAGATTGAGAGTGGTGCTATGTTTTTGGTGGGTTCTATGACGGGCAATTTCAATACTCCATGGTGCTTTTACACACTGATTTGTACTTGTCATTGGTGGTTGTGTGACTCTTTTTGTCCATTTGTCATGTTACAAAGAAGCAAGGAATGTTGCTGATTAGCTAGCTAAGCATGGTGCCAGGGCATCCGAGGGTACAGTTTGGTGTGCTAGACTCTCTGATTTCATTACTTCATTTCTTTCTTCAGAAGTAGCGAATAGTCTCTTTTGAAGGGGGAACCCATTGTAATATTTTATCATTTTATTATTTATTTTAATTGAAACAGTATGTTTTCCTTTGCTGATCATAAAAAAAGAGATGCTAGAGAAGAAACGACGCAAGCGCAACACATGTTTATGTGGTTCACGCCCTTGCTGAAGCTAAGTCCATGGGATTAGATTGGCTGATTCCACTGTTCTTCAAAGAAAGCACTGTACAGGATCTTCCCTTTAATTTATCCCTTTCTCCCCATTCCAAATCGTATGTTCATAACGTAAGGATGGGCATAAGGAATGTGTATATGCCTCACCCAAATGGTGATAATATGACAAAAATATTTCCAATTGGGAACTGGGTGTTGGTTCAACAAGATAGAGTTCAGAACAGAAACAGATATCCTACAGTACAGCTTTTGAGGGGAATTTACATGGAGCTGGAGAATGGAATGCTTAGTGATGTGAAGATTGAGCTTCTGAATAAATCTAAGCATCATTCTGAGCTTCATTTTATATCTACAATCTGGGCTAGGAAGAAGTATGAGGGGGTTAGGGTTTCAGATAACGAATACTAAAATGGGATTCGCGTGGTGAATCTGATGATGAGAGAAGGGGAAAGATATGCCTTGGGCATCCACGTGCTTAGTTTTTATGGGAGCTCCTTTGGTAACACTTGGACTTTTGTGTATTTTATAGACTAAGAGAGGACTTGAAGACTGTGGCAAGAATTTGTGAATTTGAGTGGAGTAGCTGAATCTATAGGTTGCAGCTAGGCCCTCCTCAGGTTTCTTCATGTGCTGTTTTGTGGTTAATTGTTAATGTTATCAAGTGGGCTAGCAGGGCATGCATGGGAACTTGGAGAGTGAAAGATTTGTATGGCAAATCTGAACTCATTGATTCTTTGGTGGTTTTCTTGCTTTCAAATATGCACGACAGCCAATGACTTGGCTGATGCTTTGACCATTCATGTGCATTTGTTTTTGGACTTGGATATGTGCCCTCTTTGGTTTTCATATCCATCGGGTATTAGAATTGTAAGGGACTCTTCCATTTGAAAATCCGGTGTATCAAACCGGTTACTACCATATTTTTCATCAATAAGTGTTATGACAAAAAACCTTGATTCAACAATTTCCTACTTAAAGAACAAGTTTGTTGGGGTTATGTGGCCATTTAAAGGCCTTATGGGAGCATGTACTAAACTTATTTATAGTGATAGGTTGGCTCCAGTGGGAGTGTGGTCCAAATTGGACAATCATGCATTGCTAATGCTTTGACTGGCTATGGCTCAAGTTGGTGTCTAAAACCCGTAACCATGGGCATTTGTGCACAACCAATAAGGGTTTTCAATGTGGGGTTATCCCTTAATGAGGTCGGAGTTGTGCTCAGGGTGGTTGGCCAAGAGATTGAGTGTGACCCCTATGTGTGATGGTTGGTTGGAGAGGACAAAGGCCAAAATCGTCATCATTACCATTGTACGTATGTATACTAGTTATCCATCCCTGAAGCAGCCCTCTGGGTGAGGGTCTGTGTTGTGTACATGTGCTAAAGAGATGACTCCCTGCAACACTGGACAGTGTTGGAAGGACCCATGTGGTATCATGCTAGAATGGGGCTTGGACTTATCCTCAAAGAGGGACTTGTAATTCATGGGCTAGGATTGTATCTCCCTTATTTATTGGTTGGCTTTGATAGTCCCTATGAAGGGCTGTGGGTCATGAGAATTATTGGGTTAGTTTGAGAAGAAGCAGGGAGATATGGTTTCTAAAAGGGAAGGACCCATGTGGTATCATGCTAGAATGGGGCATGGACTTGTCCTCAAAGAGGGACCTGTAATTCATGGGCTAGGATTGTATCTCCTTTATTTATTGGCTGGCTTTGATAGTCCCTACTAAGGGCTGTGGGTCATGGGAACTATTGGGTTAGTTTGAGAAAATGCAGTGAGATATGGTTTTTAGAAGGGATGGAGTCTTTAGCATATTCATTATATTCCTCAATCTTCGAATGCAATGCCCATCAAATCTTCTAAAAGATGTTTAATAATATTTTAGATAATTAAAAATAGTTTTTAGACCTCTTTGGATATTTTATTTTATTGAAAAATGATTTTTAAATAAGAAAAAATCAATTTTCTGAATTTATTTTATTCAGAGAGAAAAATAAAATATTTAATGATTTTATAAAATGTCTGTTATTAGTCTAAAATGTATTTTAGGGTGTGGGGCCCCATTGAGACATTTGGGCTTACTACAAGAGAGCTCACTAGTGGGGGCATGGGGCCCACAAGGCCTCCCATAAGTGGGACGTTCTACTTTCTCCTCTCTTTCTTATTTTGTGTGGCTTGTGTTGTAAGCCACCTCCTTGTTTTGAAAAATAAAGGAAAGTGAAATGGAATGGATTTGATTGATTTCAATTAAGTGTAGAGATTGATTGAAAATTGATTTGCAAAAACATAATATTTTCTCTACACAATTTTGATGGGAATAGAGTTATGGAAACTGAGGGATAATACTTCATTTTTTTTTAATCATGATGGCTGATCTAAGGAATGAAGGGCTGAGATCTCTTCACCCCACATGTCTCTATGGTCGGTCAAGATTGAATCTCATAATGATGGCAAAACCTTAAACCCCAAAAACCGTAGCCTCTATTCTATAAATACTCTCTATGGAGGGATCTATTCTCTACACCTTGGATTGGTCTCTATCTCTTTAAGCCCTATAGGCAGGTACGCTCCACTCTCTCTCTCTGTTATTTTTTCTCTCCTAGTTAGGGTTTCAATTTTGGTAGGAGGTAAAAACCCTAAGGGGCAAACCCAAGCCACAAGGGTGGCACGCCCTAGCCTATGTGCATTGAGATTTACTTTTGTGTTGAGCCTTAGTCAAAGCCCTATCCCATGTCATGCTTTCAAAAGGTTTTGCCTAGGCTTCCCGAGTTATAAGACAAGGTTAGATGTGACCCTGTGTGCCATTAGTCGAGGAGACCTAGTATGAGGTGTACGAAGTCCTTTGGGGTAACTTGAAGCAAGGTATGCGGTATTGTCTTATTTCATCTTTCTTGAATTCATTCAAAGTGTTATGTAACTAACTTTCAGATTTATATTTTGAATGAGAATTTGTTTTGATGGCAAGCAAGTGAGAGTCCTTGGTATACTTTGTGTTTTTATTAATTCATATATTATATTTGGCACTTGTAAGTAATGTAGGTGGTACAATAAAGAAAAAGAAATAAATTTTTTTTTATCGGTTTATACTTTCTCGGGTCACATAGAGCCTGAAAAGGAAAAAAAATGCAAAAAAAGGTCTGTAAAACATTTCTCTCTCTCTTTCAGGTTCCCAAGGGCCACAATTGCAAAAAGTGTTGGAAAGGCTCACTGGACAATTCACAGTTCCTAATGTTTTTATTGGTGAGGATCAACATTTCATTACGTCTTTGTGCATGGGTTATCTTTTTGATGTACGGCCATCATTGCATATCAGAAGTTCTTAGATGCACCCAACAAATTTCATTAAACTGTTCTATGATATTTATGTATGTCAAAGCATGAAAAAGTGAACATCATCCTTCAAAAAAAAAAAATGAACATCATGAAGATCATTTATTGTGGATGAATATTGATAGAAAGGGGGAAAGACAGTCTTGCATCTCCACTTCTGTATCATGTTAAATCTCTAATCTGCTTTAGAAATTATTTAGCTTTTGACAAAATAAGTCAAGTATGAGGCATGAACAACTACTTGCAATTATCTTCTTTTCCCCTATACAACTACGTAAAATTGTCATACTCGTGGAATATCTCCATGGCCCCTCTAGTAGAAGGGATGCATCAAACTTCTCTTACATGGCGGCCGTGGGAGGGCTAGACCTCATAACTATTCTATCTCAGTAACTTAACTTCTTGTCCAAATTGGCACACTTGTCATGAGACTAGTATTGTAGTAAATCTTTTAAAGGCATGTAGGGTACTATAAGGACTCGAATATAATTTAATTATTTACTCCAGAGAAAGAGAAGCCAAAATACAGAAGAAAAGAAGGAAGAAGAAAGCAGTAGGATTTGGGATATACGTACCCCGAGAAATTGAGCTATTAATTAGTTGAGGCAGAGAGATAGTTACCAGCTAGGTGACCACTTGTCAAGCAGTGAGCTGACTTAATGTCCATGGAAAACTTGTGGGTGTGGATAGCATTCCCTCTTTTTATTTACTGAATTCATTTTTAAATGATCTTTCTAAAAAGAATAATAACCTTTACACTACCTTGGCTCCTTGACATATCTTCCAAATTTTAGGGTGAAGTACATGCCCGTGAAGGATTTAGTCCCATAGCAATCTTATAATTCACTAAATTTAGGTGTGATTCTTCCCTACCAACCTTTATAATATAACTATATTTGTCGTTTTTTTTTTTGCTCTTTATTTACTGTGACTAAGTAACCTTGAGAAAAGGGAAATTATGTATTTTGTATAGTAAAAGCTAAAAGATCATATGCCCCCATGGGAGCATATTTTCCGGTCACAACCTCTGATAAAACCATATCTAGAAGTGATTTTTAGGACCATAAATTTTCGGGATATAACCTCCTCAACCTAGGGAATCACCTTCAAAAAAGAGAAAAAAGAACAGTTCAAACATGCTGACTTAAAAAATCACATCCTAAGATTGCATGGAGACCATCCTATTTTTGGTATGTCCTATTTTCGGATGGTCATGTCTAAGTCTTAGAAATTCAGAAGCCAATTTGGGTTTTTGAAGAAGGTGACAATGTACTACTAGAACAGTATAGTTACAAAAAATGCTCCCGAGAGGTGAGGTGTTTTATGGCATCCTACAGACTGGGTGCTCGTATATCAACTAAACAAATAATAGAAAAGAAAAGAGAAGGGAAAGAAGAAAAAAGAGGGGAGGGTTCAAAATCCAATTTTGTGACTCTTCAAAATACTCATTTGGTGATTTTAAAGTGGACTGCAAAATTTCATACTGAAAAAAATCTGCCAAAGTAGCTTTTTTGCCTGAGGGAATAAGTGTACCATGCATGTTCATTTTCAAATGGGTGGAAATACCTTTTTTGTTACCATAAGGCTAGATAAGATTTGAGCAAAGACCTTCAAATTCTGTGGATTTGAGAGATCAAAATACCTACGTTTAGCCCTGCCTTAATAAGTTGCAATTTCTTCATAATGGTTGGTTGACCTTTGATGAAATTTGTATTTTCGGGTCTCCATCCAATTATAGGCTCTTTTTTTTTTTTTTTCCACGAAGTGCACAATAGAACTCGGATTTATGAGATTTTTAGTATTGGATTTACCATTCATCCCAAATTTTCAAGAGCCTGGACTGATTATGAAACCTTATCGAAGGAGTGGAGAAGAACGGGTGTGGAAGACCAGGTGCCTGGTTTATTCTAGTCAATTTACTCTTGATATATATGAGTGTTAGGGTTTAGAGCAACACACATACACCTCCATGCACAGAATCAGCCAATATAAAGAGAGGAGAATAAGATGTAGAGAGCCGTTGATTATATATAAGTGTTAGGGTTAAGCATACCCATATACCCTTATGCATACATTGGGGATCATTACAAAAATATTAGATGTAAGAATAGTGAATATTACACACAAGGACCAAACATTTAGTAGTGTCGATTGCCCCTATATGTTGTGTTGTGGTTTTATCTATCGAGGACTTGGCTTTAAGAGACCATCAATTAGCATTGGCGTTGTAACGAGGATTATTGAAGTTGTTTCTTCCTCTTCTGTGACCACAACCAAACTGACCTCAATGATGTCCGTGGCAGGGGATTTGGAGACAGTAAAGACATCATGTCTATCATTGTTGCCTGGTTCTTTTAACTTGCATTGTTGAGACGTACATGAACTCTTGTTGTAGAAGTAAAGGGCACAATTCAACAAAGGTTTGTGAGGGTCTGTGTCATAATCAAGGCCACAAAGGTCCTGTTTTCCTAACCCAAACCAGTAAGTGTATGCATAACTTTGTCATGATTCGAAACAGGATCTTCAATGGCTACTAGTTGATCAGACAAGGCCTTAATCTTGTTCAGGAAATCCGTGGTGGATGAAGTATGTTGGTTGACTTGCTGTGACACCATTCAGATTGAGGAATACGTGCATTAGATGCTTGCGAGTACAGAGAGTGAAGAATGTCTTTTACCCTATATTTTAGGGAATGTGGAGATAAATTTATTGAGATAGGGTGGCAGTGATCCAAGAAACTAGGGTTTGGTTCAAAGTATTCCATGTGGTGCATGCTTGTGCAGGTTGCAACATGTTTTCGATTCCCTTCATTGTTTGCTCCATTTTGAATAAATTCTCGAGTGCCATTAGGATGACCCCTGAGATTTTGACTACAAATGAATTGGAGATATTTAACATTTCCATGCAAGAAAGTTTGTGGAGTTAACTTTGATGATGTGGAGAAGGATGAAGGAAGAAGATGATCTAGCCGTGATGGAACTCGATAAGGAGATTCAAGGAGTTTTCCTTTTATTATATATTTTTGTGTGTGGATGGTAGATAATGGAGAAAAGATAGAATTAGGACGAATTAAAGAAGAGATCAGTTTGTAGGATTTGAATAAGAAAAGAGAGGAGATAAAAGAATTAAAAGGAGAGAGAGAAGAAGATTTGTTTTTAGGGTTGAAGGGGGAGAGAATCTAGGGTTTAGGAAAGGTAGATCAAAGTGATATTCATCACCTTTTAGTATTAAATCTCATGGCTGAGATGGCGTTTCCCGTATATAAAAATAAAGGTAGGCCCTTTCTCTGGAAGGAAGGTGTGGTATGAAATCTCAAGACCGAAACACTTTTCCCATTTTTACAAACAAAGAAGAGCTCCATGTGGCCTTAGGACTTGTAAATGAAAGATTTATATGATAGAAAAATATTCTTGGGTTGCTGTTTTTTGAAATCAGATTTGCGTTTAAGAGAAAATTATTATTATTACTTTTGGAGAAAGAAAAGAATTTGAATAGATCCAGTACGGTTTGAGCAGAGAGGAGGGAAATCGATTAAGAGAGGAGATATGAGTTTGGCAGGAGATGATATTAGGTTGTTAAGTAGTAGATGAACTTCAAGTTGGATTGAGTGAGAAAGATGAAGAAGAGGGACAAGAGGTTAAGATTAGGGTTTCAAGAAAAAAGGCGATGAGATCTTGCCTTGGCTTGGAAAAGAAGAAGAAGAATGCAGAGACAAGATACTAGGGTTTGAGGAAGAATTTAGAAGATTACCAGGATTACATATTTCTTATCTTCTCTTGCTTTGATACCATGTGGAATTTTATCAAGGAGATAAGAAGAAGAGAAGGAGAGGAGGAAGAGTGGCGTGGAAGACATGGTGGCTGGGCCATTCCACTTAATGGATGTGGAGTCCCATATTCGTTGATATATGTGAGATTAGGGTCAAGAACAATTTACTCTTATACCCTTATGTACATGAGAAATTACCATGAGGAATATTTAGTAGTGCTAATATTGACTAGCTCCAAACTCAAAACCAAATCTAGTTTTGTGGTTTTGATCGGGGCTGTTGAAGGAAGATTTGACAAGGAATAGAAGCATTGATTCGCAAGGAGCACGAAGATTGGCGCATCAACCTTGAAATTTTGGGTGAAATTTATTTTTCAATTTAAATTCATAGTTGTTGAATTTTCTTTGGTAAATTTCATTTTTTTCGACTTTGAAATCATTTAATCCATATTGTATGTACTATTTTATATTCTTCCCTTTTTCTCTTGTTACGATTTTTAATTGTTTTTCCCAACTTCTTTTGGGTTTTTTGATCTCTTTGGGCAGCTGTGCGCCAACTAACTTAGACCAATCAGGGTCCGAGTCTGCTGCCGAGACATTGAGGAAGATGTCACTCATAGAATTAGAGCCGAGTGGGTGAGGTAGAGATGTACAACTAGAGTTTTATGTGATTGCCGCATAGTAATGAAATTGAAGGGAAGTTCTATAGGCACCTGTGAGACTAGCTTTGCTTTATGGGGCAGAATGTTGGGTGGTCAAGAAACAACATACCCATAGGAATGAGTGTAGTTAAGATGAAGATGTTGAGATGGATGAGTAGCAAGACAAGAATGGATAGAATTCAAAATGAATACATTTGGGAGAACTTAGGTGTGGCTCCATTAGGTGATAAGATGAGAGAAAGTAGACTTAGGTGGGTTCGCCATATGCAATGCAGACCCAATACATTAGGATGTGCAAGTTGATTCAAGTTGAAGGCTCAAAAAGGACAAGAAGTAGGCCCAAAAAGACATGGTTGGAAGTAGTGAGAAAAAATATAGTGACTTATGACCTCACTGAGGGTATGGCCCTTGATAGAGCATAATGGCGGACTAAAACTCGTGTAGCCACCTCAAATAGTTGGGAAAAGGCTCTGATGATGATGATGAGTTGCCCTCCAACATGTGGTTTACATAGCTAATGAATTATTTTCAGGTTTATTCACAAAAAGAAAAAAAACACCCATTACAAAACCCATGAAGCTCCATTTTACAAAGGGTTTATGGCAGCAAAAGGGGGTTTTAAGCTTTTTTTTATTATACATAAATCCCTTCTTTGGATGCTAGAAACCCTAGAAGAAGAGAGAATATGAACAACATAGGGAGACAAAATGTCAAGAGGGGAAGAACAAAACCAGAATTTGGTGTGTTATCTATTTGCTCATGAGAGGAAGGAAGATGGAAAGGAAGAGAAGAAGAAAGAACGGTTCTTGGGGGAGATTAAATTTGTGCCCTCAGAATTCGGGGTGTTGATACCTTTGAGATTGTATCAAGGGACTTGGTAACTTGCCAGGTCACTAGATAGTAACCGAGTAGCAAAAAGGTGTCCCCAAAAGAGGAAGAAAAAAAAAATGTTCACATTTGCCAACAATTTGCAAGCATGCCATGCTTGTAAATGAAAAAAATATATATTTAAGATCATCCTATTAAACATCGTTCAGATAATTAAAAAAAAAAGGAATCTTGAGGACCACAATCTTCCCCGAAAATCATAAGTGATAGGTTGACCCTATGGCAGACGTTAACCATGATCCAAGAAGTCCACATGTAGCCAATCTAAGCACTGACTGATCTAGTATCTTGCATAAAAAACTTGTTTCAGGGTGAGGTATTTAAGATCATAACCAAGAGTTAGGTCTCCAATTGTTCATGAATGTTCCCTAGTTAACTCAAGATTTTGGCATGGAAATGACTGATGTCTGTCTCAAGATATTTCAAAGGGAAGGTTCCAAAAACTTAGGTTTTGGAAAGATTCTATGCAGTGTTTTAAAATGCGGGATGCGGCCCTGATGCAGTGGGGGGATGCTCGATGCGGCTCGATGCGGCCCGGATTCGGGTGCATCGCAATGATGAGGTCAATAAATGTAAAAAAATTCTAATTTTTTTTTAAAAATAAGTTAATGCATAAAAAAAAAAAGGAAGGTGATATATGTGATAGTAGGTATTTTAGTTTAATGATTAACTTCAAAACTATTAGCTGTCGAAGATTCTGTATCCAGTTATCCACCCATATAAGTATTTCCACAGAGCGAGCATACCACACAATTTTTATCTTTGGGATTTTTTAGTTTAGCATATTTCCAAGCTAGATCCTTATTATTAGAAGATTGGAAAGAAGACATTGCCCCAAAAATATGTATAATAGTAATATTATACAAGAAGGAAAAAACTGTGAAGTACTGCTCGATTTCTTTACGACCTCTGAAAACCCCGATTTTTTATCACAAATTCACCCTAACATCTTCAAATCAACAATCAAAGGCATCCAATGAACATCCAAGTATCAAACAACCGCCAAATTGAAGATTTCGATGAAAAAAAAAATTCCGCCTAAATTTCTTTTTACCTAGATTTGACACAAAAAAAGCCACAAAAGTGGCTGAAAATCTTCATTTAGGGCCCCTAATACCCCCCCAAACAGTTTCCTGAACATTTGGATGGTCAAAAAGACTATTTTGCTCCTCCCCGAGGGGCAAAACAGAATAAAAATTCGATGGACACTGTAGCTGTGGGATGCGGTGCGATGCAGCCTATGCGGGATGCGGCTACGATGCGGCGCATATGCGGTTGCATCTGTTAAAAGCGCATATACGCCTGTTTCTGATGCGGATTCGGGTGCATCCCGCATGATGCGGCCGCATTTTAAAACACTAATTCCATGTCTCTTATACTGTCAGACTGAGTCTAAGGACAATAATATAATCATAGCAGCATAAGACAGTTCCATATTCTAAATTAATCTCATCTACAACTTCAATAATGGGGTAACATTAACATTACATATTTACAAGGATGTCCAGAAAAATAACAGCTAACAGCTTAAAAAAAAGGGATGTACAGAAAAATGGTGTTGCTAGATTTCAGTCCAATATTCATTGGAGAAATATGCATTATCATGAGTTATTTCAAAGATCAAAGTGAGTTAACTGGAAAATAATTTATGTGATAGGGCTTTCTGTTCTACCTATCTTTCTGTGTTTGCATTTAATCTGTGTTTCCAAGAGTTGTAGAGGAACATAAAATCACTTCAAGGCTTTTTTATTTTTAACTGTTTCATATCACAGCATTTTAATATTCGTTTCTATCCCCAAGCAGGTGGCAAGCACATTGGCGGTTGCACTGGTATGTTTCAGTTGTTATTCTAGTACTTGACAATTTCTTTTCTCATAAAAAAATCTAGGGAAAAGGATGCTCATCCCCCTTTGGTAGATTTTCATCCCGAGTACACGCTCAGGTCCACAGAAAACCTATACTCTCTGAGCCACAGAAAACCTATATACTCCCCCCTTCCTCCCCCAGTCCCCCCTCCCTCCCCACCTCTTGAACTTTTAATTATAGGACATTAAACCCCCGCCTTGTGTTTTTTTTTGAGATATGGGTTACAACCCCATAAACCTCTGTTTCTGTCTGCCCTCCCCTCGCTCTCTCTAAGTACCCAACCAGTCACTAAGGGTAGCAAGTGGGCCGGGCTTTGGCCAGGCCAACCTTGGCCTTGGGCCTGCCCCTGCCCCCTTAAGGCTGGCCCTCGCCCTATTAGGACCAAGCTGGGCCCGGTCAGGCCAAAAACAAATGAAGAAAGAATAAAAGAAACAACAATAAAAAACAAGGGCTGGGTTGGGACGGGTGCCCAGTCCATTGCCTGGCCTACTAATTACGCCTCTCTCTAATGATTCAAGGAGAGAGAGAGCCTGAAGAATGGGATAGAGAGAGATAATTAGGAAAGGTAGAGAGAGTATGTATGGAGGATGGGAAAGGGGCCCACTGGGGGATTGGGGCGTCGTAGAAGGTTTGAGATGAGGGAGAGGGACGGGAGAAGAAAGAGAGGCATAGGGCATAGGATTTCATACATAGAGGGAGGGGGGTGGGGAGGGGGGAGAGAGACGACTTGTTGATGGGTAGGTAGAGATAAAGAGGGGGAAGGGTAGAGAGAGAGGTCTCAACGGGTTATGCGTTTGAGGATGCTTTTTGGGACAGGGGTTAAATGTGAGAATAAAATGAAAAATAGGGTTAAAACAGTAATTAAATAGTAAAAGGTTTACTATCCTAGTATATTATTGAAAGTTTAGGGGGTTCCACGAGGTTTTTGCAGTCCGTGTACAGGAATGAAAGCCTGCCAAAGGGGGTTGAGCATCCTTTTTCCCAAGCATCTATTGTGAGAGGAACCTCAGAACCCAATTCTTGAACTGGTTATTTGATATATTAAACTTTCTTTGCAATATGGACCTACATTTTAACTTTACGTATCAAGCGCAGATACTGTGAGATTGTACCGAAAAGGAGAGCTTGCCACTTTACTGTCAGAAGCTGGTGTTAAGAACATTCAGAGCTCACAACTTGGAGGGTAGGGTGTATGAAACAAGGAGATGCATGGCAAGCCATACCCGAGAGATTTCATGCAACTTTCTCACTGTAAATACTCTGATCTAAAGATACTAGGTGTATATGAAATCTTTAAACATATTTATTGGCAGTTTGGCACTAGCGCTCATAATTTGTTAGTTGTGTTTGTGAATGATTAATGGACTGAAGATATGACTTGTTTTTCTTAAATTTGTGTTTGTTTTCAGCCGCCGCCTTGGATTTCCTTCTTTTGAATTTCTTTGAGGAATGAAATGCAAATAACTTAAAATTTGAGATAGTTTCTATCTCTAAAATTTTTCAGGTACTTTCTCACTATAAAATTTAAAATTTGAGATAATTCATCTCTTTAAAAATTTTGAGATTCTCTCTCAAAATTTTTTTAAGTATTTTCTCTCTAAAACGTAAAATTTGAAATAGTTTCTCTTTGAAAACAATTTGAGATAAGTTCTCTCTCTAAAACTTAGGTACTCTCTCTCTAAAATGTGATATAGTTTTTTCTCTAAAATTTTAAGATATTTTGTTGCGCTAAAATTTAAATTTTTAAATAATCTCTTTCTCTAAAAATTTTGAGATAGTTTCTCTATCAAAATTTTCATGTATCTTCGCTCTATAAAACTTAAAATTTGAGGTAGTTTCTCTCTCTAAAAAATTTGAGATAGTTTCTCTCTAAAAATCAAATATTTTCTCTCTAAAAAATTTGAGATGGTTTCTCTCTCTAAAAAATTGAGATAATTTCTCTCTAAAAATTTTCAAATCCTAAAAGCTTAAAATTTGAGATAGTTTCTCTTTTTAAAAGATTTTTAGATACTTCTCTCTAAAATTTGATATAGTTTTTTTCTCTAAAATTTTAAGATATTTTCTCCTCTTAAAACTTAAATTTTGAAAAAGTTTCTCTTTATAAAAACATTGAGATAATTTCTCTGAAAATTTTTTCTATAGTTTCTCTGTCTAAAATTAGAAATAGTTTTTCTCTAAAATTTTAAGATATCTTTTCTCTCAAAAACATAAAATTTGTGATAGTTTCTCTCTCTTATTTGGTGGCGTATCTTTTGTGGAATTAATTGGCTTTTATAAAGTGGATGCCTCCATAACGGGGATATTTGACAGGAAGTTAATTAATTTCGGGGATATTTGGCAGGAAATTAATTTCGGAGGGTAAAAATAATGATAGAGATTTCTTTATTTTTGATTTGAAATGAGGAACGAACTCCACACAAATGTGCCATCTCCAGTGAAAAACATATCTGAAAATGTATTTTCAAGTATCCAAATGGCCCTATGGTCCTTCTGTTTCTTCAACTCCAACCTCTATCTCTCTCTTTCCCTCCCCTAGACCGTCTCTCTCGCCTCTCCCCTAACCCTCCTCTCTCTCTCATAGTCCCTGGTTTAAGATTTGCAGCTTTGAGACAGGGGAGAGAGATACACCAGGTACGCATTGATTTACGGACTAGCTTTTGTTGGAATGCTCTTATATATATGTATTCAAGATGTGGGTCAATAATGAAAGCAAGGACGATCTTCGATATTATGCCTGGGACTTGGTTTTTTGGAATGCCATGATGTTAATCTCTTTTACCATTTTAAAGTTTTGGGATTTGCCCAAGCCACTGAACGTTCACTAATTTGCTTTCAGCTTGTAGCCATGGTTTAGTTGATGAGGGTCGCCAGTTTTTTGACATGATGAGATTGGATTATGCCATTGAACCATCTATAGAGCAATATGCTTGCATGGTTGATCTCTTAGCACGCTCAGCCCATTTGAGCAGAATCCATGGAATTCGTATCTCGAATGCCTATGGAGTCCACTGCCGCAGTTTGTGGATCTGTTTTGGGGGCTTGTAGAATCCATGGAAACCCTGAGCTTGCCCAAAAAACAACTGAGTATCTCTTTGAGCTTAGCCTGAAAATTCAGGGAATTATATACGTTTGGCTAATATATACTCAGCGGTTGGTCTATGAGAAAATGCAACAAATATACGGTGTTTAATGAAGGAAAGAGAAGTGAAGAAGCCCCCTGGTTATAGTTGGATATACGTGAAGAGGAGGGTGCATTGCTTCATAGTTGGGAATTCTCACCCCACGATGGATCTGATATAAGAGAAAATAGATTCTAAATTTGAAGATAAGAGAGATTCCAGACACAAGGTTTGTGTTGCAAGATGTGGAGGAAGATGAGAAAGAGTACAATATTTACGCGCATATGAGAACATGGCTACTGCCTTTGAGCTAATCAGCACTTCTTGTGAACACTAAGAATTATACAAAATTTGAGAAGTTGTGGTGACTGCTATGTTGCAACTAAGTTTATATCCAAGTTTGAAGGGAGAGAAATCATAATGAAACATGGAGAGGGAGAGGGAGAGGGAGAGCGAGAGAGAGCGAGAGGGAGGGGGAGGGGGAGGGGGAGGGAGAGAGGGTTTGGGGGAGAGAAAAGAAAGAGAGAGTTGGTTTGGGGCAGAGAGAGAGAGAGAGGAAGACATGTTGGAGTTGGAGAAACAGGACTGAGAGAGAGGGAGGGAGGAAAGAAGAAGGAAAAGAAGACAATAAAAAGAGAGAGACTATCAGGTCATTTTGAATATTGTTTGGGGCATAAATATATCATAAAATAAGGTTAAATCGGTTTAAGGGGTTAGCCAATAGCTTTTTGAAAAAACTAATGTAATTAGATACATATCAATTTTGTAGGTCTACTGATAAATGATACACTAAATTAAAGTGTACATAGATATTTTCCTAGTTCTTACTTCTAAACATAACATTAAAGAAAGTTATTTCTTTTTACATACCCCCTTTAAACATAACATTAAAGAAAGTTATTTCTTTTTACATACCCCCTTTGTGCTTTTCAATCTTTATCTTTTATCTATGGAATGATCTTTGTATAGATCAATGGTTTAAAAAATGGATCGGTGCCGTGGATCGGGCATCCAAAAAATTTATCCGGATCGGTGAATCGGCATTTCGGATTTGGAATCGGTCTAATTTGGCATTAAAAAAAATTTAAAAAAATTATAAAAAATCTTTATAAACATTGTTTTTTAGGAATTCAATAAGAAATGAGGGTACTACATTAATAAATTTTAATTTTTTGCGTCAATATGTGAATATTGAAATGTTCTTTCCCTGTATGAAGATTTTCATCAAACATTTATTAAAATCTAACTAAATACAATATTATACATCGAAATTAGAATTGTTGGTTTGTATTTTATTATTTTTATCATCATTTTACTATACAAATAAGAATAAATTTGAAATTTATCTTTTAACAGCATCTAATTTAAATTATAATGTACATAAATTAATAAATAAAATATAATATTTGGTTATCATTGTAATTAGTATAGCTATTAATTATAATATTATAATAAATGTGATTAAAAAAACAAGGGTATGATCCTCACAAATAAATAAATCTAATGCATAATAATTAGTGTTGATAGAAATATAGAATTTAGTAATATAAATTTGCAATCATATTTTAATAAAATTAAAAAAATAAATAAAAAATTTCATATTTGTAATGTGGGATAATTGATAAAGCAGTTTGAAATAAATTCTAAAGTGGTATGAGCTAGTGTTATTTTTCTCTATTAAAATATCTCATAAATCAATATTTTTTTTAATGTTCAATAAATCAGTATTACTATTATTTTTTGCCTTTTTTTTTTTTTAATATCCTATGAGCTAGTTAATCCCAATTAGCTAATAGCCTAATACTATTAACCCTTTTTTTTTTGGATAAGTAAATTTAATTTTTTTTGGTGAAGGATAAGGGTGGTGGGCCCTATCAACCAATTATTATTTTTAATAAATTTTTTCATCCTTGAATTAATATTTCTAAATTTTTGTTAAGGGTGACCCTATTATAAAAAAAAATTAATATAATTATGCCATTTATTCCTTGATAAAGAGCTAGGTCCCAACCTTTTAAACTTAGTCTTCAACGCTAGTGATAAAGAGCCATAACTAATGCCATTTATTATATATGAAATGAGAGAGAGAGGGAAAGAGCTAACGCTCCTAGCCTCCATAGGGTCTAATGAATGGGACGAAATCTCCCACGTTGAACACGTACAATGAGTTTGACACGTATAAAAGCCTCATCTTTAGCATTCTCATGTGCCTGAAAAACATGAATGGTTGATAGGGGCTCGTGTTCTTGGGGGGCCTTGAACGAGCACACGACATGTAGGACAAGAAGCAAGGGCATTGTGCCCCAAGCACGGCATATAAGACAAGGAGCAACACTTACTCCAAATTTTAAAGAAATTACAAAAATACACTCTTGACTTGAAAAATTACAAAATATCCTCTCAACTTTGAAAAAAAGATGTGATAGTCAGATCTCATTTTATAGCTGGATCCAAAATGATCTAGCCGATGCCCTTTTCGGAATACCCTTTGAACACTGACATAAACCATGAATATACAGTATCCTTAATTGAGGTATAAGGACCACTAAAGCATGTCCTCAACGGGGATGGAGGGAAATTTTTTGGGGCAATACCCTAGGATGCGACTTTGGGTTAGTACCGTTTTTCTAGCAAGTCTTCTCGTGTCTAAAAAAGGACAGGTCTATTATTATTATTATTATTATTGTATTTTTACCCTGCTCAAAGTACATCGAAATTAGGTTGGAGCATGTTGTTCATTAAAATCTGTTGGTCTTCTTTGAACCTTTTGAATAAATAGATTCTCGACAGGGATGCAAGCCAACAATCGCTTTTTTAAATTGGATGGCTAGATGCAAGCTAACGGTGGCTTTTTAAAATCGGATGGCTAGGTTGAGCTGTAGGAAACCTGAGTGTTAACGTCTTGACTGTTTATTTATCCTCCATATAATAATTTTTTTAGAAATTTAATGGGCTCAGATTATCTTGCAAAATTATTAAAGGGGTCCAAAAGATCTCTTGTTCTAGTGTGGCTTTTTAAATTTCATTTTATGAAGCTACTTTAAGAAATTGATTAAATTTTTTTGAAATTATCCCTATTTAGGGTTGGGATTTTTTGATGATTTGGACAACGTATGTGGCTCAAGCCCAATAATATAACTACCTTTTTTTTCTTTTGGGGTTAGCGAAATTGAATTATTAATGATAAAAATATCCTTACCTGTTAAGGAGTAGAAATGTGAAAGTTGTTGAGGATTGATGTCTTGTATTTTGAAGAAATAGATATGTCAAGGTGAAGTCAAAATGACGACCCCGGAGGGCCGTTAAAAAGCCAAAGGGCTTGAGGCCCGGAGGAGTGTCCAGCTAGGTAGACTTGGTTGACTCGGTCCCTGTGGGGGTTCAGGGGCGGCAGGCCCTGAGGAAAATTTCGGATATCTGTACCTAGGATTCAATATATCTGGGATTCGATATATATCTGTACATGAGGTATTTCGGTAATTTGTACCATCTATCTGAGACTCGATATATATTATTGCGATAGGGGTTTTAGGGTTAAGGGAAAACACAGATCTCTTTTGTAATAAGAGAGAACAGATAGGCGTGAGAAAGAGAGCTATTGTAACCCTATTTTTCATTTCCAGTAAAGAAGCTCTCATCTCCAGTGGACGTAGACACGTTGCCGAACCACATATATCTTTGCGTAATGGTTGGTTGTCTCTTTCTTTTGTGTTTGTTTCTTCTTTCTTGTTTTCATGGACTGTTAAAAATGTGAAAGTATGGGTATTTGTCAACGGGTGGTGTAGTATTTTTAACCCTGAATTGCTTGTAGTGTTTTCATGATTTACATTGAGCTACTTAAGTTAAATAACCAAAATATGCTTGATTGTGTAAGGTTTCCAATACTTAATATATGTAATTTGGGAACTTCTATACAATTCTCTTGAGGAGGTATCTTTATGAAATTGTCATCATCAACAAAACCTTTTCCAACTAATTAGAATCGGCTATACAAATCCTGATCCATCATTATGTTCTAATAAGAGTTATACTTTCAGCGAGGCCATAAGTCACTAAAAATAGCCTCGGACCTCACGCACATAATGCAATTGGTCTCATGCTGATCGGGTATGCGAGCGTCGTGATCTGGCCGCTCGAACGAGGCGAGCTGCTGCTGAATTTTTTGCAACTTCCTTCACGGATCAGCGACTTTCATTTAGTTTTTCTCTTTGCTCGGGCGTTGTCACGGGGCGTACCACATATTGAATTGTTCGTCTTGATGAGACGAACACGCTCACCAAATTTGAGAGCGATCCGACTTGGAACGAGTGATATATAGGTCCTGAAAGTGACTGCCCGTGACTGTAGAAACAACCACCTTTAATGGTATTTTAGTACAGGGTTGCCAAACGCTCCCGTATGGTCTACCCCTTTTTGGTATTTTACCCATAACTTTGTCCTGGAGTACCCGATTAAGCCGAAACTTGACTCATAGGGGTTTTCGACCATTTCGGATCGAATGGAGGTGTTCTCACAGCTGTTTGAGGCACCAAAAGTATAGCTCTAGTTACGGGGTCCATTTCAGGGTGCTAAAGACCGATTTCGTTGAAATTGTTTCATTGTGTTCATTGCCTTAAACATGTCTGATCGCGATGAAACTTGGCAGGTGTCTTTTGAAGTGCTGATGAAGATCTTGACCAATTTTGGAACCATTCTAAGACTGTTCGAAATTTCTACTGTTTTGTAAGCTTTATTGACCTGTTTCCTATCAGGGACCAAGGTGCTGAAAAATACATTCAAACAAAACTCTCTTAGGATAACCTTAACATCTCTACATGATGGGCTTTGCGTCTTCTTAACTAGAAACAAGACTATCTCGCTTATATATGATCTACTTCTGTAAATTATTACATGTTCATCTCACTTTTTAAGGTAGGTGTTTACTATTGTTAGGTCGTAAGCCATAGCAAAGTTAAAAATAGCATTACCCATCTCATTTCTTTGCCCAAATCCACATCCCAATATATCCTTTTATGTTCTCTACCATCTTATCCCGAGTGACCATTTTAAGTACTCTCCTCAAAAAATCTTCTCTCCATTTAGTGTTCCTTGGACTGGTCCATCTGTCCTCCCAGAATAATCTTTTAAATTCTATCCTCTAATATAAACATTAATTAAATTAATTATCACCACCTCCCCTAACTCAAGTTCGATTAAAAGGAGCCTATTACATACTCTCTTAGCATATACTACTTTAACATTTAAATATTTGTCTACTATTATTCCTACATCATTTTTATTATTATCCTTTCTTGTATACTAAAGTTTATATCCATCAATTTTCTTAACGTTTGCCCCTTTTCATCGAGTTTCCTGTAAGAAGCAAGCTATGTTAACTTTCCTTCATCTCATCGTATCCACAAGTCGATACTCTTACCAGTTAGACCTCCGACATTCCAATGTGGCTAGATGAATCCTATTCGCTTAGACTAGATTCTTTACTAGCGCTCATCCAAAATGGCACAGGAATTGTTGCGTACTGATCATTGCAACGCGGAGTCGTTGTGGCATGGTGTTTTTAGGGAATGTCCTAGCCATCCCTTGCTTATTTTTAGTTGCACTAAGGTGGTGGTATAGATAAGCGCCGCTTATAAGGAACGCCCTAGCATGAGCATATGACATTGGATCAAGATCCATAAGCAAGTACTTCTAAATTGGGGAACAAAACGATCACATAACATATTTTCTACCCTCAAATACAAATAAATACCAAAGAAAAAAATACCAGACCCTCATTTTGTTGGATGTGTCAGCATGTACTGTTTTGTCGTTGCTCGGGCAATCAGAATTCCATAACTAGATCATTCATCAAGGCGGCTACGACCCTAGCCGGGTCCGGTGTAGGACAGTGCTTGGACCCCTTCGTGGTCGGGGATTGAATCGTGGCTCCTCTCCAACTTCCCCTACAGGCTCAAGCCTGGGGGTCTCTTTGTTTGCCTCGCAGCCTTGAGCACGGAGACCTCTTCCCTAGCGACCTCCTTGGCTGCATGCACTTGCTTGTTAGAGCCAGACCCCGATAGCTTTGCTTTCTCCTCGACTGCCTGCAAGGTCAGCTCCCAATGGGCAGCCATACGTGTTTTAGGGCGTTGGGTCCCAAATCATCAGCCAACGCTGAATCCAGGTGTTGCAACTGCGTTGTACTCTGCCAATCTGCAACAGAGGCAATTAATATTTTCACGAAACGACATAGAATGTCACTTGCTATAAAGGTAGATATTGGCAACGGTATCAGGAAGATAGACATTGTCGAGCTCCAATAGAGTTATTTATCACTCCTTTCCGAACATCGGTATTGACGTGATTGCTTTGTATGTACAAGAGCTCAGGCTTAAGTCCTTGGTCTATTGCTGGGTCAGCCATAGTATATGTATCATACTGTAACAGACTTTTTTTTTTAGAAAGCATTATTACAGGAAGAATACTATATTGCACTCAAAACTATGCACGATTTTTATCCATATATCCACACAAATTTGGAAGACTGGCTAACTTGGGTGAATGAATGATACAGAGAATGGCATAAAGTACGAACTTTTGACAAAAGGTATAAATGCACAAATTGGACATCTTAGTCAGTAATTACTATGTAATGACAAATATGAGCAAATAAACCCACTGGTGTAAGTTAATTAGGCAAGGCACACATATATGAACTAGTGTGTAATAATAAATTATTCATTAAATTGACATGTTAGGCGTTTTTCATGAAACACAAAAAGAGCCTAACAGCTGAGTACCTCAAAAAAATCTCTGAATATTTTGATAGGCAGTACATGCGCAAGAACAATATAATCTAATTCTCATACTTCACCAACTGTAGTACTGATTGCCACAAAATTTTTGTTCAATATTTTGACAAGCAGCAAATGCGGAAGAACAATATAATCTAATTCTCATACTTCACCAAGTGCATCACTTTCTACTCGTAAAATTTTGCATAATCAAAGCACGTGTGTGACTGGTAAGCAGATTTGCACCTTCAAAACCCATATGTTTTTAGGTAGGCAAAAAAGGGATTAAGTATTGGTTGAAAATTACAACATCCCAAAGTATGGAACCAACATTCTGCTAGTACAAATAGACAATGCACATAGTGGCAAAAATAATACAATTTTTGTGTACAACCACAGAAAGAGCATTGTTTTAAAAAACGGTCCGCCCGACGCCTAGGTATTTTTTAACAAAAAACTGCACGCCTCATTAAAAGGCTCCCGAAATGGGCGTTTTTACCTAAGCGGGCGCCCAGAGGCGGCCTAGGCGGGCGCCCAGTGAAGCCAGGTGGAAATTGCTTTTTAAATTCGCCCAAAAGGGTAGAATGAGTCATTTTGACCCTCAAGTTTGTATAAAAAAGTTATGGGGTTTAGTTTTGAACCCACAAAGTAAAACGTATGTTGCGAAATGGAATAAATTACAAAATTTGACACAAATATATGCATATATGTACATTAGGATAACAAATATTTTTAAAAATGCGATTTTCCACTACAGGGCTAAAAATAAATGATTTTCCACTACAAAGCACTCGAGGATCTGGGTGCCCACCTAGGCGCTGGGTGCCAGGCTAGCCGCCTAGGGGCCGCCTATCGTTTTTTGATACCTTGAGAAAGAGTTACAAAAGTAACATTGTTCCATAGTAGCAATTTGCATGTCATAGATAACCCAACCCCAAGACTTCTCCAAAGTTCTAGACTCGACACCTCACAACTTAAGCATTAGATTTTATCAAGCAGATAACTTAGTTAAAATTACTTTTTGTCACGTATGGAGAAACACCATTATAACATATGTTCCCAGGGGATAATTGCCAAATCTAACATTTGGATGAATTTTACAACATACAAGCATCCCACTACAAGAAATAATAGGCCCCTCCAATCCCCAGAAAGGTTATACATAAACTCCACTTTTTGTAATTCCCCTCTGGAGGGTATTCATTTAATGTCATACACAACATAAGGATAATTTATAAACAGCTCTTTTCTACTTTCTTTCTTTCTTTCCTGTAGTATGTTTCTTTCTCTTTTTTTTTTGGGTCAACATCAACCGAATTACCTTCACTATATTTAAGGGACAATATGACCTTGAGTTAGATACAAACTGGTGATCATGTACATTGAAAGAAGAGCAATCAAAATAAGGCAGAGATGCAGACTAAGTGAGCACAAACAAGTGAGACATTTCGATAATGACTAGGCATGCATAATTTGGGTTCTGCAATTCAACAACAAATGGCAGCAATCTCACTATATGCATTAGAATCTCAAGGCAAAAAACCTAAGAGATTGATTTAACTTCCATCCTAAGGAAGTATATTCAGATTGATCAGATTGCAATAGTAAATAACACAGATAATACTCCTATTGTGTATTAGTGTAGCATATCAACCACTAATGCATAATTTAAGAACTCCGATATCTAAAAAAAGGGTAAGACAATCACATATAAGCATGTCTCAATAGAATGGGCACAAATCTAAATCAAAGGGAACAACATAACCATATAACTGCTCCAAACACCATTTTACACATATGAAAAACTGATCTAACTCATTCAAACAAAAAGAAAAATAATAATAATAAGATTTCCAACCAAGACCAAGAAGTAACTTGTCAAAACCTTACCCAACAAACATGAAATTTTTCTTCAAAATACTGTCTTCACTCTATCGACATATTGAGTTTTAGGGGTCTCACATTCTAAAAACTTATTTTTATGAATTTACGGTTTTGAATGGAACTAGGATCAACAACCCATAAATCTAAGGATTAATCAATGCACTACACAAATATCATGACTAATGCGTACATATACATTATACAAATAAACTAATGCACAAACGCAAACCCCAAAACATCATAACTAATATAGAACTCCAATATCATAACTGGCGCAAAATACAAATATAACTACTTTTACAACCAATAAGTCTAAAGAACTCGGAAATTGAATAAATCTTAACGAAACTACAACTAAATATACCACAAAATCCTTCTTCTGATGATAATAGTAGATTTTATAAGTAATGCATCCTACAAATGGACCGTTTTCTACAACCAATAAATCTAGAGAAATTGCAAATTTACTAATGTATTGTACAAATAAATGCTCTTCTACAGCCAATAAACCAAAAGAAATTATAAATTAAAAATAGAACTTAACAGAAGGAAAATAAATATAACAAATAATAGATAAAATCGCCTGAAGCTCCAGCTAGGAGCGGAAATCGCATGCTCAAGGCACAACACAAAAACATTTCTTCACAAATAGAAGGGGAAAAAAAAATCTAGGTTTTGATGAAAGCTCACGTAGAGAAGGGTGTGGGGGATGATAGAAAGTGCGGCAAGATGGAAAGGGAGGTTAGAGGTGAACATTCAGGACAAGAAGAGTACCATAATTTTTGGCATGTCAAGTAGAATGGGATGTAAGAATACAGGGAGAGGAGGTAGAGAGCACTTTGAGAGAGAGAGAGATAGCGCCTGCAGAGAGAGAATTAGAGTAGGGAGAGAGATCGACCCCTTTGAGAGAGAGAGAGAGATAGAGACGGTGGTTGCAGAGGGAGAGAGTGAGCATATGGAGGGAGATTGACAATTCGAGAGAGAGAGAGCGAGAGAGATCGAGCTTTGAGAGAGAAGAGTGAGAGTCCAGAGATTGAGAGAATAAGAGAGTGAGGGAAAACGAGGGAGGCGAAGGTGGGGCTTTTATGCGACAAAAGAATAAAAAGCCCTTTGAGGCGAAGGTGGGGCTTTTATGCGACAAAAAGATAAAAAGCCCTTTCATGAAATAACAGACGGCCTTTTGTTACGTTGTTTCGGTACCGAAAGTCATCCCGATGTTTCAAACATCAAATCATACTTTAAAATGTAGCGTAATAAAAATGGAAGGCGGTCGCAGAGTCGATCATTTTTATGTCGAATTAACTCATAAAAGTAAAAAAAGAATTAAAAGTAATAAACAAACATAATGAAATTGTCACTTCGTAACATTTAGTGACACTGGTCAATACTCACTCCAACCGCAAACAAAAAACCAATACTGAAAAAAGACTGGTGGCCCATAACCCATAGAATAGAAAACTACGGTAAAAACAAAATTGTGTGTGTGAGAGAGAGATTTCTCACACTAGAAAAGACTAATTTGTGAAGAAAAAAAGAGATCTTTCTCACCAGAGGACTAAAATAAGAGATCTTTTTTACTTGGTACAGGTACTGAGCAATAATTACACCGTATGAAATTTTTGTGATTAGGATTCTAAGTTACGAGCGTACTTTCAACTTGGATTACCACTTTTTTAGAAGAATATGAAAATGATATTTCTATACAACAAGGCTCTTTTTCTGGTTTTGCTAAATTCAAATACGTCTAATCTCATCAATAATAGCTTATGGAACTTTTTTACAAGTAGCAACATTCCTTTTAATACCTTCTAGGTGTTTCTTGAATCGGTGAATAGTCCTTGGTATCTTTTTCGCAAAAACTTACACCTTATAATGTTTTTATCATTTGGTTTCCAGTTATAACCATACTTTTATTTCGGATCACCTTTTCTAGAAGAACCATAAATAGAGTTATCCAAATGACAAGGCTTTTGTTCATGTTTCTACCCAAATGAAGATGATCAATTTGAAGGTTTTCTAATGACGAAACAAAATTTTCCGATACGTTTTGATGTACACCTTACTTATACATTATAAGGTTGTCACCTTATATAAAATGTTTTCCATTTATTTTTCATAAGGTGAATACTTCTAATGAATTACAAAAATTAAAGAAATATTTAAATGATAATATTGTATTTTATGTTTAAATATATGGGTTGTTTTGGAAAAAGACAAAAATAAGATGAGTTGGGAGTAAGGGTGGCAATGGGTTAGGCACGGGCCAAGGTCCAAAAATTGGACCCACACCCGTATCTGTCGGGTCCACCAACCTATGACTATGAGCTTCTTCTTCTTTTTTCTGTCATTTGTTTTAACCATCATATGCCCATATTATTGGCAGCAAGATCAAAATCACCAGCCATTAGACTTCAAGACGTATGATTTGTCATTTAATAGCTAAATGTGACTATGAGTTCATATTGTATACGATCCTTGATACACCCAAACAAAATAGGGCTTAAGTAAAGTGTTTTTTCTCCAACGGTTTACAGGTAGGGGTTGGGTCTAGTTGGACCTGAACCTGGACCCAAACAGTATTCGGGTCCAATATTGGAACCATACCCGAACTTAAGGTCGGCTTTACCGTCGAATCGTGGGTCTGACCGGTTCCATTGCCACCCCTAGCTAGGAGTGGGATGACGTGTTTGACTTGCGACACATTTATTGTTAAGCCTTTTTGTGAGAAGAGATATGAAGGAAATTGTATAAGAGCGAGCAATGATCCAATACAACGATTGTATCATAGTATAATGCAAAGACACTTTTAGAAAACCATGTTTGTGGTATTTGTATGACCTCAAATTTTACACACACACTCTCTTCATCTCAATATTCAATCTCCAAAAAAAAAAAAAAATTCATTTTGAACCCTAGATAAGGTCAAAATGAGTCTCTTCCAAAAACGAGTCTAGACCATTCATTTTGTGAATTTCAAGATCTTAACCTTTATAAACTCAACATCATTTTTTTTTTCTTTTTTAAAATTGTTCATCTAATGATAATAAAGCCATCCAAAAAC